GCCCTCCAACGGATCTGAGGGACGGTGAACTGGCCCCCTGTTTAAAAAGTTTGAGGACCCCTGATCTAGGGCTATACATGCAATAGGAAGGGGAGGGATTGGGGGCGCACATGTGACAAGAAGGGCTGATCCTAGATTCAGGGTGGCCGCAAAGCCTGTAGGGAGAAGTAGCCCATTGTGCTTAACAGCAGGGAGTGGGCTCTACCTGTGGTGGGACCTGACAGAAGTCTGGCAACTGACAGCCTTCAGGGAGGATGTCTCTAAGCTTCTGACCTCCCACCATATGCTGGCAAATAGCCTCTAGCGTTTGGCATGTCTTTGGGGGAGACAAAACTGGGGAAAAGTCTCTTTATAATCCACACTCTACTTACAGAAGTTGCATGGTAATGACTCTCTCCACTTCTTTAGACACTTCCTGTGAGGAATGAGCTAGCCTATTAAGAGATGGGTTCACACAGACTCCTGTTCCTTCCTTTCTTGATGCCCACTTTGGGCCAATTAAACCTGAAGCAGCTGTGGCGACACCATGGTGATTCTAATCTTTGATATGTTTTTGTCAGGTAATTTTGTTAACAGTGGTTGAAGAGGCATGGTTTTGCCCAAAACATGTTACCTGGTGTCTTTGTATATGCATAAAACCGCTCCATTGATAGACCCTTAAATTCTAAAATACTGTCCTTCCATTGGCAGGACCCATGCTGGAGAACGGGCTCTCCGATGCTGAGCTGAGACCTGGGACTGTGCACGCTACTCAGAATGCTCAGCTGTCCAGGAATGCTGCCAAAGCTCTCTCGAGATCACCTACCACAGGACCTCAGTTTTCAAATCTGGCCATGGAAGATGTTCCCCCCTCCTCCACTAACAAAAAGCTAGGTAAATTGGAGACCCACTCTTGAAGGAAAGAGGAAATTGGGGTTTTTAGCCAAAGAGGAGAAACTACGTCTGCTCCCACAGATAAGGTTTCAAAAGGGCAGTAGACTGTCCCCTTTCTGTTTTGCCCAGCATTGACTCTCCAGATCAGGGTCTGACAGTGTTGTGATGCTGGGCAGCCCTGTTAGAGTAGGGGGGCTGGTGGTGCCCCTTGTGTGAATTGAAGTCAGACTCTACTGCCAGGTGACGTACAGGCTAACATTAACCAGTTTCCTTTCTTTGCTTTACTGAAACACTTTTATACTGTTTCCATCATTTTTATTTCCTGGTTGACTCGAGCTTAGAAATCCCTATCATCTTAGACATGACATTTTAAAGAAATATTTTCATTCCTCTTCACAGTTTCATGCGTTTACTTGATATCTGACAGACTTTAGCTTTAAACTAGAATATTTCCTCTAAAGTAATTACTTAGTATTGACTGGTGGTAGTTCTTGCCCCCCCCCCTTTTTTTCTTCTCCAAATGATGATAATCATTTAACTAAACGGCCAATAATTGAACAAGGGTAACAGCCCCTCTGAGGATTGTATATCTAAGCATGGTTCAGTTTGCCCCAGTGCAGTAACCCGCCCTGTGCTGCTCAGCTGTTGGTTTGCATGGACTTTCCCTTACATTACTAGGAGCACAATAATGGGAGAGAATATGCTATACCCACTTTTGTTTCTTATTTAAGAATTATCAAAGAAAAATTTAGAGGGGCATGTAGGCATGAAGGAGACCTGATGGTGCAGTGGTTAAGCAGTGGGCTGATACGAAACCTGCCCTGCAGTCTGTCTGCTTCATAAAGATTATAGCGGAGCACATAGTCGGGGGCACTTTTGCTCTGTCACCCATAGGGGCGCTATCAGTTGGAATGGACAGCACAACAACGCGGAGGCATAAAAGATCACATTGAGATGAAGAATTGAAATAAACTGAAAAGTCTGTATGTTGCCTTAATTGTACTTTTTTCAGACCCATTATTTCTATACTGTGTATAACTTTAACTTTGGTTAATAGAAGTTAATCGAGCTCTTGAAAGCTGGTTTAAAATGTTTTCGGTAGGGAAATGTATTTCATCTTTCTCTACAGAGCTGTCTTCCCCACACCCAATGCTGTGCTATAGGGAAAACACATTATCCTCTTTGTAATGCATACATGGCAAACATTATACTCTTAAATCTTGCTGTTTAGGGGATTTTGACATTTTGGTAGCCACTCAAATAAGGATTTAAAAAATAATGAAACAACTTTATTATGAAGTAGGTGAAGGTTTACAGATCAGATCAACCTTCTTACATTCAACTATTCATACATGTTTTGTTTCATCTCATTCATTTTAGCCCCTCAATATACCATCTCCCACTTGGCTCTCTCCATGTGTTTCCTGTTGCCCTTTTTTTGCTTTCCTGCCCCTTTGACTTTGGGTAAATGCTGACTCTTGATCTCATATGGTTGATTTCTTCTTCCTTCTTCCTTATTGGGTTGCTAATGAGTCAAAATGGACTCAGTGCCAGTAGGCGTTTGTTTTGTTAGTCTACTGTTCATCCTATTCCGTGTGCATGTCTTCGTTTCAGACACTGGTTTGCCTTTTTTTCATCTTGAAGTTGAGTTTGGGAGCTGAAAATGTCTTCTGTGTCTCCTTAAAATACTTCTGCTTTCTTTTGCCTTCTTCAGTATATCTGGTATCCAATTACAACAACTGCTTAATTTTATCACCTGAGCCTGGTTTTGTTGATTGATTTTCTCTTTATTATGGATCATGTTTTTCTGCTGCTTTCTGTGCCTGCTAATTTTTTTAAATTTTACTTCATAATCGATCATTTCTATCACTTATTATAACTTAAGAGCAATGCCCAAAATTGGAAGGGCAACAGTAAACTTGAGGTGGCAGTTGTCTCTCTTGTAAAACCCTAAAAATGGATTAAAAACAGTTGCGAGAGGAAAAGGTGTCGTGCAGTAGAAAAAAATAGCTAACGTTTCCACCCTACATACCAGTTGTCCAACAGGAGGTAACAGTGTTTGTTAATTTAAGGAATTACTGACAGAGGAGGAGAGAGAGGAAGCAGGCTTTGGCTGGGTTGAGCGGGTGACCTAAGAAACTGCAGTAACCAAACCAAGCCAAGCCCTGGAGTTCACAAGGCAACCCTGGACTGGACTAAAGTTTCGTTTACGTGCACCCCAGGGTGGCATTCGTAAAGCCCCTCTACATTAAAAACGGTGCAAGCTATTTTCAGACATAATAATTAAACTCATTGCCACCGAGTCGACGCCGACTCATTTGAAATGGAAGTGAGATATTGTTTCCTTGAGCTCCACACTGAGGAACAAGCGACGTGAGAGGGGAGCCACACAGGCGGCTCAAAGTCTACCAGGACGGCAGTGAGCCTTCACGCTGTGCCTGCTAATTTTTTATTGGATATCAGACACTGATTTTTTTTCTTCATTAAGTTGCCTGATATATTTTATTTCTTTAAATAAATATTCTTGTGCTTTGTTCTAGGACTCAGAGGCTTGCTTTCAAAGCCTTGTTAGGCTGGCCCATTAATTTAGTCTAACACCAATTTGCTTCATTACTGAGACAATAAAACTGTCTAAGGGCTCAACTTGGTGCTCCATGCATTGCGGTGTTTCTCTACCCTGGCTGGTATGAATAGGAACGATTACAGGCCTGTGTAAGCTCTTTTTCATGTTTCTCTGAAGCACACATTCTGTGGTAGCTTTCTTTTCCTGGAATAGCTTTTTCCTCTCGTGTACTTTGCCTTAAGAGTTCTAACCACCTTGACCCCCTGAATTCTCACCTCTGTTCTTTCATTCAATTCATTCAGAGAGCTCACCAGGCTCAGTGTAGGACTTGTCCCCATATTACTCCCTCCAGGCAGAACATCAGGCAGGTAAAAGGCCTCTTAGCTTATTTCTTCATTCTGAGGGAAAAAGCACTGCCCACTATTGCCTATTGTCTGAAAATCATTGTTTTGTATATTTTATCTGATTTTTGTTTTCTTTATTTTTTAGTTGTTTAAGGTAAGAGGATAGATCCTGGTCGTCTTATTCTATCTTGGGCAGGATAATTTTGTTTTGTTTTTTAAAAATCTATGCTCATATCCGTTTTGGGGTTTTTTTTGGTTGCCACAGTAGAGGAGAGCCATTTAGGGAATCTTAGTCCACAGGACATTTTGTTACTTTTCGAGCTTAAACATTCCAATACAACTAATCTTTGGGTCTTCCTCCACCCTGACCCCCCAGGTTCCAATATTGAAAAATCTGTCAAAGATCTCCAGCGCTGCACAGTGTCTCTTGCACGGTATCGAGTTGTCATTAAAGAAGAGATGGATGCATCCATTAAGAAAATGAAACAAGCTTTTGCTGAATTGCAGAGCTGGTAAGTTGTATTTGTCTTAAGGAACAGAAAAATGATCATTTATGCAGATATGCCATCATTCAGTAAGTTGTGTAATTCCCAATTCCTAAGTAGTCTACAGAGTGAGGGCACACTTAAACCTGCCTGTGGTTTGTTTAGGAGTATATGTACCTTTCTTATGGTCACAGTGTGGTCATGAATGATACAGAGAATTCCAAGGCTCTAGAAATGGTTAGTATCATTTAGAAAGGGACAAGTGATTACAAATAAAAGCTATGCACACTTAACATTAGAGTCTGTCTTTTAAACAAGGAGCCCACAACAAATGTCATGTTACTTTTGAACAGAACTGTAAGGTAAAAAACCTGCCTTTGCTAACGTACCTCCTCTTGATCTTATTCCTGTACCTTGCCCTAGTGCTCTCGTATGCCTTGTTATTAAGCATGAATTTGTTTTAACTTTGCATTGCTCATACTGCCTTCTGTAGAATACTCATTCTTAAAATATATGAATATGTATTTTCTGGAGGAAACCAGGGTTTGGTAGTTAAAGAGATTTGAAAATATGACCTAAATTTTTTGCCCTAGGACTTCACAGTTTTTTGGCAAGTGGTCATTGATTTTTTTAAAAAACTTATTGACATGTAATTCACATACCATGCAATTCAATGGTTTGAAATATATTTAAAAGAGTTATTCAGTCAACACTACAATCAATTTTAGAACATTTATTTCATTTTTATACTCCCTCCCAGCTTCCCTTCTATAACCTTAAGAAAACTAATAATGTAGCTACTGCCTCTATTATATACCTATCCTGGGTTTCATATAGAGAAAATCACACCAAACAACAACAATAAAAACAACCTCAAAACAATAAAAAAGTAAGCCATAGGTAAACCTCAAACTAAAAGAAAGCAGAAAATAATAAAAACTAGAGCAAATTAAAATGTGTCAAGAGGGAAAACAAATGATGTTAAAACTTAACTATATCAGTATTAATTTACTTTCTGTTATACTCTGATGGCCAGGGTATTGACATCCCTGGTCAGTGATCTCAGGGAATTCAATGGAGGCTTAATCCCCATGATTTGCTGCAAATGGATTCTGGGCTTTCACTGTCATCTATAGCCTTTCTGCAAATCAGATGCTCAGAATTTAAGCTCTAATACAATTCCCTCCTCTGATCTTGGATTTTATTTACAGTCTTTGGATCAGTGCCATTTTAATGTTAATATGCATTTTGAATCTCTTAAGGGACCTACAGTATGCTGTTTCTCAAGCATAGTTGATTATGGATTATTTTTCTGGAGAAATATATTCTAACATTTCTAAGAACACCAAAGCTTACTTAACTAATAGATATTAAAGTGCCAGCTGATCCTTAAGCTATCACTTCTTTCTGGGAGGCATATGGATTTTACAAGGGAATTTTTGAAAAAGGAATAGGCCTAAAGGGACTTAGAACTATCCACTATGCTTATTTGTAAGACCTGCATACATATGAGAGAAGGTGTCCATGGATATGGTAAACCTATGTCACTCTTCCTTCCAACCTTGTTTCACTTGCCTGTCTGTGGACTTCCCTTATGCCATACCCAACTGTGGCTGTCCACAAAGTCAGTCTAGTTACTTCATACTACAGCACCTAAGTTCTCCTCTAGGAGTCAAGAGGGAATAAATAATTTTTTTTTTAAGGGAATAAATATTTAGTACAATGCCTTTAAAAACTTGCTGACCCAGGAGGGTAGAGGGAAGGTGAAGGGACAAAGGGGGAACAGATTACAAGGATCTACCTATAACCTCCTCCCTAGGGGACGGACAGCTGAGAAGTGGGTGAAGGGAGACGTTGGATGGTGTAAGATAGGACAAAAGAATAATAATTTATAAATTATCAAGGGTTCATAGGGGAGGGGGAAAATGAGTTGCTTATACCAAGGGCTCAAGTAGAAAGCAAATGTTTTGAGAATGATTAGGGAAACAAATGTACAAAAGTGCTTGACACATGGATGTATGTGTAGATTGTGATAAGAGTTGTACAAGCCCCCAATAAAATGATTTATTATTTAAAAAAATAAATTTAAAAAAACTTGCTGACCCATACATTTATGATTTGCAAAGCATAGAAGGTCCAATAAATCATGATAGCCAAAAAGTGCTTTGAGATTGGGTAATTTGTCCAGTAGTTCCATACTTGTCCCAACTTTCACCTTTCAACCTAACATTTTCTGGGGTTTCTTCCACACATTATTATTTCAGTTAGATTACTAGTTGTCTCCAAATTTAGCATTCACATTTCTTCTACATATGTGCGTATTCTTTCTCAACCAAATAAGTTTTCCTGTAGATAGGTTATCTATTGTTACCTAAATTTAACCAATTCTCCAAAATTCACCTTGCCAAGTTGTCACTTTGAAATTTTTTTCTAGAAGAATGATCTCTGCTCTCTGTACTTGTGCCCTTTGTGTAGATTGTTATCACAGCAGACATAGTTGACACATCTAGAAAAGAACCGAGATCTAAGTGAAGGTACTGCACAACTCTGCCTTGATAAGCTTCTGGTCCTCATGATTGTTCATATTACTGGTTACTTAGCCACAGGATCTGACTCCATTCAGAGCCAGCCTGCACCAGGAAACACAGTTCAGGGAGAGAGATTTGTGAGTTCCTGCTGACTTGGAAGGCAGTGGGAGGGGGAGGAGAAGAGCCTCCTTCAAGAAATAACAAATGAAATGGTTTCCTGCCTCAGAACTGTGTATTTAGGATTGATTAACAGGCATAGCAACCAGGTCCATTTAACTTAAGGAAAGAGATTACTTGCCCTTTCCTGCTGTTGTAGTAAAGCCCTTCTCTCTGGCTGATTGGGTTTTTAAACTACCTTGTTTTAGGGCCCCTGATAGTTGCTACTTCCAGACCTAATTGACAGGTGTGCTAACTGTGTTTGGCACCCCAGCAGAGTTCAAGCCCTTCAGGAAACCGTTTTTTGTGTTGGTTATAGAGTAAAAGAAAAGGCAAAGGGTTCCAACAAATTTGCAACTGTAGGATTACATTACCCCTGACAGGGCACTAGGGAAATGAACCAGGTGACTGCCTTCACTTTGATGCCAAATGAAAGGAGACACATACCTGTGGAGGGTAAAATCCGAAGCCAGTCCCATATGTAAAATGTAAAGCCAGTTCTTCTCGGTGATTCAGTAATAGTCATCTCTAGGCCCAGGTTAACTTTTTAAAAATCCATCTGGCTAACCTGGTTGGCGTTAGTGGTTGGCTTGTGGCCATTAAGGAGCATGCCGTGGCGAGGAAGGTGAAGCTGGAGTATGAACTCCTTTTGGAGGTTGTCATGTGATGTGCTGGTGAGAAGTGTCACGCCTTGCTTTCTTTTAAGGAAATGGCAATAGATCCCATACGATTCTGTGCCTTAACACAGAATTTTTATTGCTCTTGTTCCCTTGTGTACCCTATCTAGATACACACATGTTCTTAATAGTTAAAATCATAAAACTCCAAACTCAAAAACAAATGAAAAGAAAAACCAAAAACTCCAAATTCCCTGCCTTTGAGTCTATGCGAACTCATAGCGACCCTTTATAGTGAGAGTTTAATTTTGTAATGTCTTCTGTTCCCTTACAATCATCTTTGATTTTTTGTTCCAGTGTAGCTGTTTAGTGTGTGTATAGACTTAATTTAAGAATTTCTAGACAATGAATTCGGAGTGGATAATGGTTTAGCCACTTATTGGAAGGCATTTTACTAGAATATTTTGCTGAAACTGAGAAACCAACATGAGTACAGAAAAGAGATTAATAAGAATTACTACCATTTAGGGCACTTTTCTCATGTATCAGAAGCCTCTGTACAGCATTTCTAATCTGTTTAGCAATCGTTTTAAACATTTATGTTCTTGCTTTATAGAGATCAGGAAAATTTGACACAGAACAAAGTAATCTCACAAAGTCAGTCCATGTGTGCAGTGACACTTTTCCACTATACCATGCTCCCACCTTCTCTTCTTACCAGCTTTCACTTCTTACCTTGACTCTTCAATCCCTACCTTTCTCACCCATACCTTCTTGCTTTGTTTCCAGAGCTTTCGACAGCAGAATAAGTATTCCAGCGTGAGAACTCAAAAAAGCAAATCTTGGTTTTATGTGAGGATCTAGTGCACTGCTTGCCAAGTGGGTGTAATGCTCCAACCACTTTTCCTTACCAGCTAGAAACTTAAGTAGCACAATCCTCATAAACTACTTTGTTAGTGGTGTTTTTTTTCTTAAACAGAGTATGTATAAGTTATGATCATGAGTCCTGTTGTCTCTAGGCCTAGTTCAGAGTTGAGATGAAAGCAAAGTTACTCCACAAGGACATATCTATTCCACAAATAGATTGTTTAGATTCACATTCTAACTTCTTAAAAGCAACATCAAGTCTTGAAACATGTAATTGCATGCCCACATGTTTTGCAAAGGACACTTTCTATAAAGAGGGGCCCACCTAAATTTTCATAAAGTCCAAATTTTATTTAACAGGCTAGTTTTTTCAATTCAGTTGTGTCCCAGTTCAACGCAGTATGATGATCTGGCAGCCTATGGTTTTGATTTTTGTTTTGAGCTTAGATGGGCCTATCATAATTCATTCAGGAGGACTGAATGTCATAGAATTCCTCAAGCATCATTCTCTGTTTGTCAAAACTTTTAGCAATTCTTGGCTATTTTATATGGGCAGAAGGAAGTATCTTCAAACAAATGAAGTATGTGTATTGGCTTTGCTTGGATTTCTTCCCTCAGCAGCTAGTGAAATTATAATGAATAGATTTTCAGCAGTTAAAATCAAGTATAAATATTTTCTAAGAACACTATTGAGTGATTTAGAGAATTACCCTTTTCAATAATTGTTGCCAATGAGTTTCTGAACGCAAGAAGTAGAATCAATAAGCTGTGTGTTAAATTAATTAACGGACCTGCTTCAAGTGATGGAGACACAGTATACCAGAGAATTGTGACTGGTCATGCTGCAGGAATAGCCATTCTGTGCAACTGAATTACTGTAAAATCTTTAGGCTAAGTGGAGCAATTGCTCAGTTGGTCAAAACGTCCCAGGGAAAGGGGAAAGGCAATCCAGAACATCTTTAGTAACATGGGCCAATTATCCAAAACCATTTTCCATATTGAAGAAGGGATTTAGATAGTGTCAACACTGCATAAGGCTCAGGCTTAAAAAGAACTCGTTTCTTTCCAAACAGGCTCCCAGTAATATTTAGCTGACTTTGATCTAGTGCACCAGGCAGTACCCACATCCTCCCCCCCCCCCCCAACTTCCATTGAGTCGCTTTCAACTCCTAGTGACCCCATAGGATAAAGTAGAATTGCCCCGGTGGGTTTCTGAGACTATAAATCTTCTATGGGAATAGAAAGCCTCATCTTTCTCTGGAGGAGCAGCTGGTGATTTTGAACTGCTGACTTTGCATGTTAACAGCCCAAAGTGTAACTCACTATGCCACCAGGAAACAACGTTATTTAAATGGGGGCTGGTCATTATCTCAGAGGAAAAAAGTGCCATTACAATATTTTAGCCCATACTCTTTCTCTCGCGCTCTCGCTCTCTCTCTCTCTCTCTCTCTCTCTCACACATACACACACACACACACACACACGAATCATGATGTGGAAGTATTTTTCCTTGTTAAAAGTGTCATATGACATTCCATTATTCATAATAAAGTTTATAGGCTGCAAAATGCTTAGTTGTTTGCTTAAGTCTTTTAATAAATATTTTACAAGCTTTGTCAGACACACAGAATTTGTCATCTGGTGGAACACAGTGTCTGCATCTTAAGATCACTCCGCAGCAGAAGGGAGGTAACGTCCGTGTCCAGGGCTGGCAGCTCCTGTCATGGCTGGGCCTCTGTTTTGCCTTTTAGGTATTCTACAGTGCTGCTTGAGTTCGTGGAGCAAGTGTTGCTGCCCCGAGTGTGTGTGTCTTCTCAGTGCCGTGCTTTTGGATTAATGCCAACCAGTGTGTTTAATTCGAAGTCTCTTTAGGAATATTATGCCTAATGATATCAAACCTGTTTTCACTGCCCCGTCCCTGTAAAGGATTTTGTTTGTTGAAGAAATGGCCCGGCCTAACACTTTTTGTATACATCACACACATAGTGTCCTTGTGATCTACGGAAGAAGAGTAGAACTTTTATTAATCTTGTAGTTACTGCCCTTTTCAGAGAAATTAGAATGAACTCCAAATTTGAAGAAAGAGCATTTCATGGTTGTACTGTTTTTGAAATCCTAGATTAAAAAAAAACATTTTTGTTTAGTGTGCCACCCCCAAGCTTAACCGGTATGATAAGAGAATTATGTTTACATCCAGAGACTGGAGACTAAGGTAATCTATCTTCATAACCTTGAAGGCAGTGGACACTCTATAAATACAGAGAAAGGCTTCATATCCCTATAAATGATTTCCATTTGCAGTGGATGAAACTCAAATGGCTTATTTAATGTTCCCTTTCTGTTAAAAAAAAAAGGCTTACCTACCACAACCTTTGAGTATATCCTTTTCAGATCACTGTTAAATGTTTATCAGAAACCAGCACATGTATGTGTCTTTTAACTACTCTGCATTCTAAGGACTAAAATGTCAGTGGACTTGGTAAAACTAGCAAAATTAAGATAGACAAATCTTAATCACGGATACATTTACCATGCCCTAACAGGTGATGCCTGGTGAAAATTCATTAGAGTCAAAGCTGCCGACACTTCTAGATCAAAAGAGGGGGGTTGGATATGGATGAGCTACATACCCCCAAAAATGGAATTCTCCCCCCTCCCAAAAGCTATGTATTTAAATTTTTTTTACAAAACAACCTTATCACCTTCAAAGTACTCTCCATTACACTAAATACATTTGTTGAATCTGATTCTTTTCTTGGAAACATTTTTAAAACACATCTGTTTGTATGGCTGACAACACCTCCCTTATTTTTTTTCTTCATCTCTTCTACATCTCCAAATTGCTATCCTTTCCTGTCCCTCTTTATTCATGGAAACAAAAAGCAGTCACACTGAGTGAGGTCAGGTAAGTAACGTGCGTGGGGCAAGAGAGGAATACTGGTTTTTGCCATTGGCTCACTGCGATGGCTGCATGAGCACAGGTGCATTGTGGTGGTGGCAAAACCAGTTCTGGCTGCCACAAATCAGGCCTTTTTGATCCTACACTGTTATGCTAACTTTTCAGACCCTCTAAATTTTTCTTAAAATCAATTTAGTGGGGGCTCATACAACTCTTGTCACAATCCATACCTACATCCATTGTATAAAAGCACATTTGTACATTCGTTACCCTCATTATTCTCAAGACATTTGTTCTCCATGGAAGCCCCTGGCATCAACTCCTCATTTTTCCGCCTCCCTCCCCACTACCCACTCCCTCATGAACCCTTGATAATTTAGGAATTATTATTTTGTCATATCTTACACTGTCTAACGTCTCCCTTCACCCACTTTTCTGTCATCTGTGCCCCCCAGGGAGGAGGTTATATGTAGATCCTTGTAATCTGTTACCCCTCTCTACTCCACCCTCCCAGTATCACCACTCTCACCACTGGTCCTGAAAGGATCATCCGTCCTGGATTCCCTGTGTTTCCAGTTTCTATCTGTACCAGTGTATGTCCTCTCAGACCCTCTAAATTGAAAGCTTGATTAATTGTCTGACCTGTTGAGTGAACTCCAAATGCACCACAAGTCAACGTTTTAGTCCATTTGTGAACTTGACGGATGTCCAGAACGAGGTTTGTCATCAGTCAACTTTTCACCTTTTCTGAAATGAGAAAATCACTCATACACTTGAGTTCTTCCGGTAACGCTACCCTTGTAAGCTATCTTCAACCTCACAATAGTTTCTGTGACATTTTTTCCCTGAACAGGAAACAAAATTTCACAGCCACATACTGGTCTCCCAAATCGGCCATCACAAAAAGCAAGGTTCAAGCGGAACTGCTTTGACTGAAAAATTCCCTGTGACTGAGAGAACCTTTCCAGGCAATGACATTGGGTGCACTCAGGCAGAGTTGCTGGATGCTTGTTTTGCCTGGCAGGAAAACCGTGTACTATGAAAGCTCTGCCTAGCGGAGCTTTTTTCCGTGTGTGTTTTTTTAGGTATCCCCTCCTATGTGTGTAGTGTATAATCTATATGTCCCTTTTTATGTAGGAGGTGCATACTAATTTCCACAAGAACTTCTGTTTTTTAAAAAGCAGCTTCCTAAGAAATGTTTTGTAGCTTGCTACTGCCATCTACTGTTTCTCAGTATATTGACTTCTAGCTACTGATCTCTCGTATGTAAAAATAAGAGGTAATTAAACCTAGTTAATTGATTGGAAATTTGACAAGGCAGTTTTCATTGGTCATTACAGAGTTTACTTTGTAGTGTGCTTTTAGTAAATAAACTGATAAGTCAATGTGCTTTTATTGTGTTTGAGTTTCTGATTAATCCTTTTTCTCTTGTGTCATCTTTTCCCAGTTTAATGGACCGGGAAGTGGCATTACTTGCTGAAATGGATAAAGTAAAAGCTGAAGCAAGTAAGATTGATCTTTTTTTTTTTTTTT